GCTATAGCTGACTTTGACATTGTTCTTGTTAAAGAGCTTATGTAAAATGTTGCCACTCGGGAAATGCTTTTTGACCAGGTTAAGGAATGATTTTCCGATGTTGGTTTTCACTCCTTTGCTGAATGGTGGGTTGTACCAGATTATTTGTCTGCTCTTTTTTTCTCTTTTTCTGTTATGCATAAGTTGCAGCGTTTTGTTTTTGGGGAGTAAGCCCCAAAACTGACAAGAGAAGGTGTTGTGTGATTTTTAGAGAAAGTTTATTCCAGAGCCTTGGTCCAGCAGTGCTGAAAGCCTGATCTTCCCACAGCTATATTTGCTCCTTGGGATGTCCAGGAGCACTTGTTGGCTAGATCTTAGTACTCGCCTACTCTCTTTGATGTTAAGCAATATACACAATATAAATTAAAATCTAGAGGGCACTCGTCGAGTGCATACCTCCGCCCACATCATAATTCTTCTCAGTATAAATTTTCCTCGCATATTGTCTCCATAAAAAACAATAATGGAAAAAAAAAAAAAAAAAAAAAAACAAGTAACCCGGGGCTGGTAGTGTGGAAATCAATCTTCTGACCACTACACCAAACTATTTTCACATATAATCACCTTGAAATTAATGGTCATATGTTTGTTTGTTTAACTTTACTGGCAAATCCACGCACACGTCCATACGGCAGACAGTTATAGGCCTACTTTTCGATCAATACCCTTGACCTGTGATCCTGACCCTTCAAAATTTAGTCACTTCCAGACCTTTGGTAAAGGAACATTTTGGCTAAATTTGAGAATTTTTTTATAAAAACCGTTCTAAAAAATTGGGGTTTTTTTGTTGTTGATTGTGACCTTGACCTTTGACCCTTACCCTTCAACATTAAAATACTTTTGAGATCTTTGGTCATAGTTTTTAGTTGATTGTGAACTTGACCTTTAACCCTGACCCTTCAAAATTTAATCAGCTCCAGATCTTAGGTAAAGGAACATTGTGAATTTCTGATAAAGACTGTAGGCTGTTCACAACAAATATGCCGACAGACAAATAAATAAATAAATAATTAATTAATTCATTAAACTGGCAAAAACCTAACCTCCTGCCAACTTCGTTGACAGAGGTAATAAGAATGCTTTAAATACGAACAAGATGTTATAGTCATATTAACAAGCCCTTTAACGAAAAGTTCCTTTATTCATTTGTATGAAAACAAATGTCCGTGTCTGGCGGGATCCGAACCTGCAACCTCTCGCTGTTAATGCGAGTATCATACAATTAGACCAAAGATTTAGGTATACATGCAGGTCTAACCACAGGTCACTTTCATGGCAGAAGATTGCACTCCACTTTCCCCTAAATATAATTATAATATTTCGAAATAAATTGATATTGGATGTATAGACTTATATCTGTACCGTATGTCCATATCATGCACTCTCTAAATAACATTATTTAAACCCGATAACTATTATTATTCTAGCTCTCATATGTTGTTTCTTACCAGTGGTGGCGCCAGAATTTTCCCGAGGGGGTCCGAGGTCCGGGAAGGAAGGGGGCCGATGCCCCGACGAGGAGGAAGATTTCCTTTACGAGAGCAAAGTGGGCGTGATCGAGCGTGGCTTAAAATCTTCCGAAATTTGTCTGGGGGAAAAGCCCCCAAAACTTTTTGCCAATTTATGGGTTTCAAGGGCTTATTTAATAAATTTTATAGTCTACTAATATGTACAAAATACATTAAAAAAAATTTTTCTCGCCAAAGAATTATGGTTTTTCTCCCCGACGTGAGGAGTGGGGAAGGTGGGGGCGCAGCTATCCCTGTTTCTTACTATTAAACTGCATTACGATGTTCGGAACTTTGTACATCACTTTACCATTATCCTAATTTGTAAGGCTGTTAAATTTATCGCTTACAGCTTAGTATTCTTATTCTCTATATTTATCTTATAGTAGAGTCTTGTAACATTGTTTAAACTCGCAACTGAATTTTGTGTGCTTTTGCATCAGCAAATAAATTAATAAAATGTTCAAAATTAGTAATGTTGTCTGCTTCATCACGCTCAATACTAAGTAGTGCCAAAGCAGATAGTCTCGCTTGTCGCATCGTGACTCTGAGATATGGCAGGATGAGCTTTAGTCATGTAGTCATTACAGAATAGGATAAAAAACGGTCGAAATGGACTGAAAAGAAATCACAATCTATAAATTTTCCAATAAAAACAACTAAATTCAGATTGTTATTATTAACTGGAAAATATTCATGCTTGACAACATACATCAATTTCGTCATGTTTTTCTAAAAAGTGCTTATTTTTTTACTCTCATTCTCCCATTTCAGCGCGTCTCTTATACACATCTAGATGTGTATAAGAGTGTGCCCCTTTACCTACCCCTCCACTAGCAACGCCACTGACACATAATGGTACTAAGGTTAAGCTAGAAAAACTTATAGGTCACAGATTGGAAATCATAGTAACAGTTGTATGACTACAATTGTCGTATATTTATGTAAAACAGAAGTTTCGGACTTTTACTTTTCTAGCACATAAAGAAGCGCGAACTTCGAAACATGTCGTGTTCGTTTAACTTATATTTATTAGAATTGTATGTAGTAAAAGTCTCATTTCCAAATAGAAAGAAAGAAAATATGCCATGATAATAAATACCCAGGCATGTGTAAACGTTACTTTACATACACATAATTTATCCTCAATGCTTGACATAATACGGTATAGGAATTAGACAAAAAAAAAATAAAACAGACATTTAGCAAAAAAACATTTCTTGCCGCTAATTTTTGTGTGATATAAAGTACTTTTTTATATTAAATTGCTGTATGTTTTTCTTATTTTAGAGAGTCAGAATTTGCCTGTTACTTGGTCACCAATGATGGCAACAGAAAAAATTAAAGTTGTTGACCTTAGCCAAGGTAAAGAATACCAGGATATACAACAGCAGTTTGTGACATCCTTGGCTGGACAGTTTACACATCAAAGTATAAAGGTTTGTACAATTATTTAGATACTATTTTAGAGGTATAATACATGAAGAGACGAGAATCAGGGTGGGGGCTAATTAAAAGTAATTTCGTTGGATATGATTTCTAAATTGTTAAAAATTGTGCTAAAAGATTGAGCTTAAATACAGTGCATAACGCGACCAGGCTTCAATCTACAAAGCTCCCCGTCAGTTTTATTCACTGCGTCTCAAATCCAACTGATAAAAATAATCAATGTAAATTTAGAAACATTTACCAACCAATGCTTTTAGAATGGAGCTATCATGTCACCTGCCAGTTTATGTTGATTTTAAACAACAGCAGAAAAGTGGACTAACTAGTTCATTGTATCCCGATTTTTTGTTTCATCCGCTTGTGTATAATTCCAGGATTAATCATTTTTTTTAATACACTATGCTTTTTTTTTCAAATAATAAATTTTCCTGTATTTTTGAAGTGCATACAAGTGTATTTTCATTATACCCTTATTTAACTTTATTATTATCAAGTGTTGCCATAATGTTATTTTGTAATGTCATTTCTACACACATTGCAGTTTTGTTTAAAAAGAACATCAAACCTGGTTTTTATGTATTCGTTTATCGTCAATAAAGCAATAATTGAATATCATTTCCATTAACAGAACTGTTGTCATTGTTAATGTTAGTATAAATGAAATAAAAATATATATTTTTATAATTGATATTATTATTCAGGTGTCACTTTCATTTTGCAGATTAGCCGCATTCAAAATATTGAATTGTGGAAGCAATATGCTGCCAAGAAAGAAGCATTTGAAAAGGGAATGCCTGGTCAACCGTTTGAAAGAGTTTTATACCATGGTACGGATGAGTCAACGATTGATAAAATTAATAATGGCGGTTTTAACAGAAGTTATGCTGGAAAAAATGGTAATCCATTCCTAAATATTTGTAATTTCAAATGATTAGACAAGGAATGATTCTAATGAATTATGTGTAGAGAATAACTCAATATATATAATAAAGACATAGAATAGCTAATTGAAAAGGATCAAAGTAAATCAGCTTCCAATAAAGACACATTGAAATAACTTTTCACTGATTTACAGATAATGTTAGTCAGATAAGTTGAAATTTAATACTGTAAACGTTAAATATACATTTATACAAGCAGTGGACAGTGTAATTTTTCTGTTACCTGATACAAAGTAAGTATATTATAGTTATATTAATGTGTCTGTTTTAGTAGCTTTACACAGACACTATATTTAATGCACGTTCACTTTCATTTAATTTCAGCTACTATGTACGGCGTAGGAACTTACTTCGCTGTTAGCGCCGGTTATTCTGCACGTGACCAATATTCCAAACCAAATGCAAAGAGAGAAAAACACATCTTCCTGTGCCACGTTCTCGTGGGCAAGTTTACCCAAGGACAACAAGGATTGTTGGCACCCCCACCACAACCAAACTCAATTGAGACTTACCACAGCGTTGTTGATAATTTAAACACTCCTGGGATTTTTGTCATATTCAACGATGTTCAAGCTTATCCCAGTTACTTGATTACCTTTACCTAGTTTTACTTAAAGTAGCATATAAGGAACTCAGCACTATTAAAAAAAAAAAAAAATAAAATAATAATAAGAGTGTGCTGATCAATTGGTAGGTTGATTAATCGATTGGTGGCGCTGCTCCTGGCTACCGTGAGTTCACATGAGTCTAATCAGAATTTCCTATTTGATATTCAACACAGGAGCCATAGTATAAACTTGCACTTTACAGTTAAGCTTTGTTTTAGTATTACAATAGGCCTATTTGTAAAAAAAAAAATCTTTAGAAAAACGTTTATTATAAATTCTCATATGTTAAGCCGATATCTTTGCAGTTCGATTTTTTTTTTAAATTATTTCATTTGTTTTCTACGATAAATGCATTTATTTGCTTTTTAATTGTTTTAAATGATAATATTGATTTAATATATCAAGTACAAATTAATTTAATTTGATTGAAAATTAATATTAGTAATAAGGCCTAATAATAATTAGACATGTAAAATGTAATATTTTCTCATTTTCATTTTGCTGTAACTTTGCAGTGACGGACTTATTATAGTCTTTTGTAAGATGTAAGCCCGTAAATATAAACGTAAACGTGCTGTAAAATATTTAATTTAAGGATTTAGATATTATTGGCTATCATTAAACTAATTTCCTTCATAATTCCTTGTTCACTGTTGTAAAACTCTAATTGTGGTTATCCAGCCTGCTCTGAATTAATCACAAGAGGGCCAGGAATACGGACTTGTTTCCAAAACGCATGTGTTTGCGTATATTTACGCTGTCGGTAAAATTCGAAGTGTTTCACATTTGGAATCGATTGACAAAGGCGGCGTAGTTTAGCTTGCGTTTGCGTAACCCGTCTGAATTTCTCTGACATGAAGTGAACTATATATAAACTGAAGGTTTTACCATGCGTTGTTCGGCAGTATAGTCATTATTTATTGTGATTATTTAAGTACATTAGGCCTATTTTCGAGCTTTACACTCCGCATGACACTCAATGTTACTAATGAAAACACGTCCTAGTACATGGACCCCACAATACAAGTACATATGTGTCAGTGTTTTTCTAGACTTGCACGTGTATGTCTACTATTAATCTACTGTACGTGTGAGTGTTGTTTAGCTAATAGCGCGTGGAAAACCGCTGGTTTAGGCCTACATTAAAGATGTACTCTCTGTCATGGGCTAAACAATTTAATTTCATATTTAAATTGCATAATATGTATATTTAAGTAGGTTATTGAGAGTTCAAGATTATCAGCAGTTTCACAGGTGTACAAACAGTACACTAGGGGAAGAGGGTAGACAAATTTGTAAACTTTTACATATGCATAAAAATGTTGATTCAAAATAGCATACAATATGTAAAATTATGGTAAAATTATATTATATAATGTAACCATGGATATAATATTCATTTTTAAGCAACTAAGTACATTGCTGTAGTTGACTTCACAGAAAAATGGAGAATGGTTATGCAAAATCAACATTTGTTTGTACAATTCCAGAGGGAAGGGAGGGGTACCGAATAAGAGTTAATCACAATTCAAAATTTGAATTAGAAACAAAAGATCCCGTTCTATCAAAGGACAGTTAAATTATACTTCCACATGTACGGTATTCTTTTGCATAGACCCTGGCTGTAAATTGGCTGGTGATAAATTTGAAAGGTTTTTTTGTAGTGAAATATGTAAATCAACAAAAACTACATACTTTTTTTATGGTTTTTCTGGCTGGAATTTTTAAACTCTCATTGCTTTTACTTAACGGTAATTTTGTTGTTAAAAAGTTTTATTTCCAAAGGTCAATTTGTCACTTGAGACTTTAACAAAAAGATGGTCCCAGCCTCGAATTAAAAGCCTTGGAATTAAAGGAAGAGCTTTGCTTTGTTAGGAGATATGTGATTAGTTAGTACTTTGGTCTCGAATTAAAGTGGTCTCGAATTGGAAGGTGAACTGTATTACAATTAGAAAGATGTTTACATCGTAATGTTCTGTGTGTACGAGCACCGTGCTTCTTTAAGGCCTGTTTACACTATGACGATAACTATCAACAATAAAAATCTAAAAAGCAATTGTTCATATAGAAAACAAAAGAAATAAGAGAAGTGTTCACGCTACCACGATTCGATAACGATCGTGTGTACGATAACAAAATATTTTCTCAAACCAAATCGAATGACGTCATAATCATAGATAACGTTAAAATCATAGCATAAAAACGATTTTAGCTATTTATTGTTGATCGTTATCGTCAGTGTTAAACAGGCCTTTAGGCGCTACATGTAAACGCCTTCATATACTGCAGGACGTGTCAGTCTTCTTTTAGATAAGATCATGTGACAAATTCTCTCGTATATTCGCTTTCGCTAGAATTAGTATTTGCATTAATTTTGATAATATATATATAGTGGTTGAAATTTGTGATGAGATAAATGTTTTGTTTAAATTGAATTTAAATATACGCCTATGAATGTGCATGAAACGCAATGCAATCAGAAGTGTATTGACTTTACTGTAATGTACTCTCGATTACAGTATAGGACCACTGATTGAGGGCCACCGTAATATTCATTTGAATTAAAAGCTGTACGTGATAATTTCTCTCGCTCGTCTCATTTCAAAGTTGTGTTTTATATGCAAAGGCCTACATTACCAGTTATTGTAATTATCATGGAGGTATGTAATTATATACACCTGTATTGATATGTGATTTTCACTTATAATTAGTTCATCTTTTATTCATTTATTCGTGTAATCGCATATCTATAAAATGTATATATACAGACTACTTACAGTAGCGGAATTTCGAACTTATACTGCGCAAGCGCAGTTACCAAAGAACGTTCGTGAAATATGTATAAAAAACACAGTGACCATGCGCTCGGAAAGGCTAGACAGCCGGTGAGCATGTGCACTGAGTAAGTGACGTTGTCGAGCTCGAGCATGCGCAGTTATCAAAACATAAGGTGTCTCTACCCTTTACGAATTTTCATGATTTTTAACCATCATTTCAGACGTCTCAGGAACCAAACAGCGTCTGCGAAGAGGGTATGAAATAGAAATGGGAAAATCGAACTTTTTTTATGCAACAAATAAGCATGCGCAACTCAAGCTAACTCGATCATGCATGGCATTGAAAATTGGAAATAATATGAGAATTCCGGTCGAAAAACCTTGGCTATCGAAGGCCTAAAGTGCATCATATAATCGTTTATTTATTTATTTATTCAACAATATTTCGAGAGGGTGCCCCATTCAGCGTGAGCTAATTTTAAGGTTGAAATTTTTAAGGTTGAATTATCGCAAACCACGGTTTATTTTGCCCTATCAATACCGTAACCACAGAAACTGACGATACAACCTAGGCTACGCCTCTCTGGGTAGCTACTAATAGCCAAGTAGAAGGGTCAAGAATAGGCTAAGTCGCATTGTCTGGGAAAGGTACGGCCAGGTGTCATATGCATCCATTATAGCCAATCCAAAAAATATCCACACAAACTGAGAGCAGTAGATCTCTAGTGGGGGAAGAGGGTGGTGGCTAGCCAGTCTAAAGCTGAAGCATAAAAATCGGCTATGATGGAATTCATCTATAACTCGTCCAACCCAGCAAGCAGAATAATAAAATATATTTTTAAAAATTGAATACAAATAAAAATTATAAAATATTAAAAATAATATTATTATCATTAATAATAATAATAATAATAATAATAATAATAATAATAATAATAATAATAATAATAATAATAATAATAATAATCATGGTAAGAACACAAGCTAAAGAATGTTTATATGGTAGTTAGGCCTCCATCAAATCATATATCACACTTTCTACATTTCTAATTTGGAGTACTGTTATGTCTCTTTTTTTAGTTACTTTAATCCTGTGACACCGCATCAATGTAAATAACTTCGTTGGCTATTGTTACACCAGACGTAAACAAATTCTACCTGTAGGCTATTGCTGTATGTTTATGTGTATGTTTATGTGTTATATCATAAAAAATGCACTGAAAATGATATAGGTCATTTTCAAGTATACATTAATTATAAGTGTTAAGTTTGGAAATACAAACCAGTCATAGGTTAAAGATGTTGATGCGTTTTTTATAGGAAATATTTTTTGTTTATTTTTTTCCAAGGGGAGGGGGTAAGGACCGCCTGAAAATGGCCCTGTTCGATAAGGCGTCTGCATAGACAGCTGCTGTAGGAGAGTGAAAAACAGGCTACTTTCTTCTGCTGTGTAGATTGCTGTGTAAAATGATTTTCCTTTTGTTTTATTTTCCTAACCACTTAAACGCATCGTACCAGACGCGTTGTCATGCATATTATTTACTCGCTACATAATAATTGTGTCACTAATTTAGCTTGTAATACATGACATATCATTTTATTAGGTGCATTAATTCAAATTTAGTCTGTAATTTGAAACAAAACATACCCATAAAATTAGATTAAAGTTGCCTCGGATTGCATGTGTCTTTCAATACAAGAATTGATAATTCAAATTTGAATAACATGCAAAGCCTACACTTGTTTACATCTGACGACATTGGTTCTCGACCAGCTGTTCAAAACATTAATGTAGTGTGTTGATTACCACCTTAAACAGTCAGGTGGTATATAAAGTACAAATTATAATTATGTAAAGATGAAAGTGAAAATGTTCCGATCGCCTATTATCATCATCATCATTAATTAAATAATCATTATCCTTATCATTATCATCATTATTATCATCATCATAGTCATCATCATTGTCAATGCCATTTTTATTATCACCTTTCAATTATTCTCACAATCATCATCCTCGTCATCATTGTCATTGTCATCATCAATATCATAATTAATGTTATTAATAATAATTATATCATCATCATTTAGCATCATCACCATATCATCATCATCATTATCATCATCATCTTAATCATCATTATTATGATTATCATTTTTATTAATGATCGTATTATTATTTTAATTATTATTATTATTATTATTAGGTAAATTGTGTAAATATAGTTCAAAAAATTCTTTGTGGTTTAATGAATATTAAAGCCTTTAATATTCATAAAGTGAGTAGGCCTACGTGGTTTTAAATTATTATTAACATCAAAGACCCTACCGACAATAAACTCTGTGCGTGCTACCAGGTGATATTTACAAGCAAATAATTTAAAGCGGCTTTCGCAATCTGCCATATTTTAGAGTTTATTAAAAACACATTTTCTCGTCTATAAAAATTGAACAATCCCAATTTGACAGCGAGAGAGTACGTAGCGCCTCATACGTGATTGCTCTCTACAGTACGCACGAGTGTGACGACAAGTCATGATGAGACAATCCTTTAAAACTATATTGTCCGCCTGCTTAATCTTCATTAAATTTCACTTTCTGTGGAGCACATAAATTTCATGAGGTTATACCCGGCAACAATTTACACTTTTATTACCCTCAGCGCGTCGATATCCAGGACACCTCAGATTGAACTATTTTACAACTATCATTCTGCTACCGTTGAACAATTATAGGCCTGAAGATGTTCAAAGATACTACTAATGAAATGCAGATAATGCATTATATTTCGAATGCCTGAAATATTATACATTAATATTTTATTCTGTTTCATTAGTGCGCAGACGAATGTGCATATCCGTATCGACGTGGTCTTTACTCATATCTGGTGTGGCAAACTCCATGAATACACGGAATTGATATCAATCCAGTGCTTTTGTAAATTGTTTTTTTTTTAATTTCTTTTTTTCTTCTTCTTAAACATACGCCTGTTACTTTACCTGAAAGGTTTTTGTTTTCATATTTGACTGGATGTTGGAATTATTACCGAATTGGACTACACTACTTTTTACCAGAGAAAATGACGGTTGTTGTATTTAGTGGTGTTGACGCTTGATGTTAGGCGGTAATCGAATTTTGATCAACCAACTTTGGCAAATGTTTCTTCGAATTTATATCAAATTAACCATCGTGACAAATTATAATGGTGAGACTAAACTAACATGTATTGGTGACGATATTTCTATAACACCATGCCTCTCTGATATTCCTTTTAAAAAATCGATAATGCTAACTGTATTACAATGAGTGAGAGATATTATATGCGTTTTCACAAAGACTTATAATTGAATTCCGATGCTTTACGTTACACGCATCGTCATGTCAGTAACAATGCGAACATTCAAGTTAAGCGGCTTAACATACGGTTCCGTTGGCTTTTCCTCTATCGCGATCTGCGTCAAACTGAGAATTTTATAAACATCAACTCACAAGTTAATGCTGACGACGAGGCTCACACACCTTATACACTGGAAATCATGTTTTATCAGAAAACCTTAATTTAACGATAAATAAGACGGAAAAGACTAGACGTTGTACTTTAAGTATGCAACATCATCCGTTAATTTACATATCGATTTGCAAATATTATAGCAACAGTAAAAGCGAGGCCCCACAAAGGTTTATATTCGCTTGAGGAATTAAAAATATCACTTAGCCTATGTTAAGCAGTTACGAAAGTCTGAATGGTTGACGTGGATCATCCCAATACGTATCTGACTGTTTTTCTTTCTCTATTGTATTACCATTATTATTTTTAACCAGTATTGGTACTATGCTGAGCGAACGCTCCTAAATCTGGAACCATTCTAAGAACTAAAATGTTACGTGGTCAATTAGAAATAGCTCTGTTGATTTATGTGGATGTTTTCATCTGTGTATCTATACAGTCATTGTCAGAATTGATATACTACCAACCCGGAGACTACACTACTGGCTACGTAATTTTGGATGAATCTGGAGTTTCCAAAGACAAGTCACAAAAAGGTACGACACAACATACAATAAGTATAATAGAAGCAGTAGATTTTATCAACAAAAATGAACGGATTTTACATAATATTACATTGGGAGTTGTCGTTTTTAACAACATATCAACAATGAATAAAGACCTTGAATTCCTTCAGGAAGAATTATGCGATACAACTGTGAATTTGATCAGTTTTGTTACATCAACTTCGAATTGCATTTCAAAAAGTGTTCAAGAATCACTTACAGCATATTCCATTCCAATAATAGTTGAAAATGGTAGAACATGTATCGAAGAATTCGTCAGCTCTGTTTTCTACGTAGGGGACAATTGGCGCTCATTGATTAAGGTCATTTTGCAGCTATTGAAGGAACTGCTCTGGGATTGGATTGCCATAGTGGCGCCTGAAGATTCCAATAACCGTCTGCTGGTTAGTCACATGATATCAGAAGCTTCACGGTTTAATATCTGCTCAGCGTTTGAGGTTTTCATGTCAAATCAGAGCTCCGAAGATGGGAGATCATTGGTTAAAGCTTTAGCTAAATTTCCTGACGTCAAAGTCATCGTTTCATTTTTAGACATTCATCATCTTGAAGAAGTTGTAAGATTAGCATCTGGTAACTTGTCAGGTAAGTGAAAAGTATACAGTAATAGGTCTATATTTCGGTTGAACTGTTGAGTTTTATGTCATTATTTTGAACAAATCTGTAGCTCTGGGCGTTAATCCTTTCCAAAATGTGGACCGAATGTAAAGGCAGTATAATCTTTAACAAAATTCAATTATAGGTAGGCCTATGATGTATCATTATAACTGTATTTAATAGATATAGGCCGCATAGACGCGGAAAAAAAAATTGCAGAGAGGATGAGACTACTTGAGAGTGAGTCACCAGATGCGCTGAAATTGGTGTTAGGCGACTTCAATCACTGCAAGTTGAAAAAATAATTACCTCACTGGCATCAATACATGAATGTCCACACAAGGAAAGATACAATATTGGATGAATGCTACGGGAATTTACCAGATGCTTACCTGTCGAAAGCAAGAAATGGAATCGGGAAGTCTGATCACCATCTTATCCAGTTACTGCCGAAGTATAAACAGAAATTAAGAAAACATAAAATTATTACTAAACCTATTAAAATGTGGTCGGAAGATGCTATTAGCAAACTTAGGGATTGTTTTGAAAGAACTGACTGGGAGATATTTAAGAACAGTTCACTTGATGATACAGTAGAACGATGTTCTGCATATATAAAGTTTTGTGAAGATTCCATTGTACCAACTAAAAATGTTAAAATTTATGCAAATAATAAACCATGGGTCTCTAAGGAGTTAAGATTATTAATGAGAGAAAAATATTCGAAGTTTAGAAAGGGCGAATTTGACGCTAGTAAACATCTCCAGCGGGAAGTGAAACGTGTAATTAGGAGAGATAAGCGTAATTACGCAAAACACATAGAAGAAAAATTTGAGTCTGGGGACATTACAAATGTGTGGAAGGGAATGAATAATGTAACTGGAAACTTTAAAATTGCATCAAATGTTGAAGATACTGATATTATGGCGAATGATTTAAATTCTTTTTATGTTAGGTTCGATAAGTGGGATTTTTCGGAGTTTCGAAATATTCAGAAGGAAAGACTCACAGGTTCAATAACAGAAGAAAATAATATTTCAATTAACATAAGTGATGTTGAGAAGGCATTTAGAAATGTTAAGTCTAAGAAAGCCGCGGGGCCTGATCTTATTTCAGGAAAAGTTTTGAAGACATGTTATTTTCAATTAAAGTTTATTTTTCATTTTTTATTTCAATGGTCAGTCGATTTGTGTCGAGTACCCAAACTTTGGAAGTCTGCCATTATCAAACCGATACCAAAACATGATAAACCTAACATCTGTAATGAATATAGGCCAGTGGCATTAACTGCAATTCCAATGAAATGCTTGGAAAAAAATCATAAAAAATGCATTAAATTGTCAGACAAATAATGTGATTGATAGTTATCAATTTGCTTATCGGGAAAAAAGGGGAGTAGTTGATGCAGTTATGACGCTCACGCAAAGGGTGTATGCTCATCTCGAATATCCTAATAACTATGCTAGAATATTATTTTTAGATTTCTCGGCATTTAATACCATTCAGCCCCATCTACTTACTGAGAAGTTAATAAATATAGGAATAAACCCACGACTTAACCTCTGGATCTCGGATTTCTTATATGAAAGAACACAGATTGTTAAATTCAGGGGAAGTGTATCTAAGTCGTTGACTTGTAGCACGGGGGCACCACAGGGGTGTGTTTTGTCGCCCTGGCTCTTTTCGGTATACTCTTCTGATTTTTGTAGTAATATTGATCCAAGTAAATCATTTAATATTAAGTTTGCTGATGATACTTGCCTGATTGGTTTGATTTCAAAAAATGACACATCCTTGTTTTATGACTATGTTGAATCTTTTATTGTTTAGTGTAAGGAGAATTTTCTTGAACTAAATGCAAAGAAGACTAAGGAAGTTATTGTCGATTTCAGAAGAAAAAATAAAACTTAGTCATGAAAATATTGTAATCGATAATGAGAGGGCGGAAATTGTTGAAAAACACAAGTATCTGGGACTGATTATTGATAATGAACTTAACTGGGAAAGCAACACTAAAGAAATCCGTACCAAGGCAAATAAAAGAATGCATTTTGTATATAGAATGAAACGGTTTAATGTTAGCTCTCATCTTATTCATATGTTTTATTCCTCGGTTGTCCAGTCAATTCTTTCTTATTGTATTATTATTTGGTTCTCTCATATCACCGCAGACAGTAAATGTCAATTATTGAGAATTGTAAATAAGGCTGGAAGAGTGATTGGAGCTGACGTTAAGTCCTTGGAAGATATTTTTAATGATTTTTTTACTTAAGAAATTTAATTCAATTATGCAAGATTCATCCCATCCATTATTTTCAGACATTATCATAAATAGATCGGGAAGGGTTAGACATAAACAAAACAAAATATCCACAAACCGTTTTAAAAATTCAGCATTGTACATCGCTTGTAATCTATTTAATCAAAATTTCAGAAGATAACTTCACAGGACTCAAAACCTTTATTTAACACTCTATATGTTTATGAACGATTCTATGTCATGTACAACAAATATCTCAGAATGTATTATTTTGACAATAAAGTTGACTTGTATCTTGTATCTTGTATCTTGTAATATAGGCCTAACACAGAATTATGTAATCGTATAATTGTATTATTAGAGATTTTTTAAGTATTTTTCTGGACTCTTATATCAGTAGGCTTACCATTACTTTAAGAATATTTTACTGGATGTATAACTTAGTAGTAATTGTATTTTAATTTCTATCTCAGAATTTGTTTGGATAGTAGCTGAAGATATAAGGGATCGTGTACCTTTATTTCTTTCGGGATCAATCGGAATTGCTCATGATTCTCTAAAATATGAACCTGTTGCGCAATGGCGTAAATTCTTTGGGTACGTATGCAACGTTTGTAATGATTTTGAACGTAAAGGAAGCACACGTACGGCGTACCGGCACACTTGCAGTGAATCTATGTGTTATGCATCTGATATCGTATGCAATGATTTTAATATCTCTAATGAAGATAAAGGTTTTCCAAGTAAACATTTACGACGAGCTGTAGAGGCCATTGCGCATGCTCTTACAACGACTATTAATGACCAAACAGATGTAAAACTCAATAAATTGGCGATTTTAGAAAACTTGGAGGAGGTAAGGAGTTTTGTATCGTAAATAGAAGTTATACTGATATGACTGTTTTAACATTGGCGGGTGTTCTTTTGTAAATGCTAAAGAAAACATTTTATGACTAGGAGGCACTATTATATACTATTGTTTTCGATCAATAACGAATGTATTCTTTATATATCTGTCAAAATAACATCAACAAAGTTCCATCTTTTATTTAGGTGCATTTTGTCGGGTCTAATGGAAGAGAGTTTTACTTTGACACAAACAACTACTCTCCAACAAACCTTAACGTAGTTAACTACCATCGTGAAACATTATATCAGAACTACACATTATCTAGAACATTTGTTGGTACATACAGCGAAAATACAACTGGTAGTAGTGGTCTTCGAATCAACGTCTCTGAAATCATATTTGAAACTTATGAAAATTATGTAAGTAATATGTTTTAGGTCCTTACTTTGATGATTTAGGTCCTTACTTTGTGGATGGTTGCTCAACGTTACTTCTTATGACCAGCCATGTAGTAGTCAATTTTAGGGGTTCAGTGATCATTTTCTTTCTACCTTTTTTTCTCGATGGATTTTGCAACTGGAACACATTTAAAGTAAAGTGTAAGTGTAATGGTGAGGCCAAATTTAGGAAAAATGGCACCACATTTGTCCTTCTAGCTCATCTAGCGCCAGATAATTACAGTTTCATATTTTCAAGATGGCGGACCCTACTCTTCAATAGCCATATGTCAGTGTACTGGAAAACCAAAATTTCAGGATTTATTGGTCAGGATGATGTTTAAATGCTACAGTAACAGTAACCATTCCAGTGTATTGGTGATGCCAATTATAGTGGAAAATGAAACCAAGTCTATCACTGTTGCTCATCCAGGGCCAGAGATATTTGATTTTGTTTTTTGTTTTTCAAGATAGCGTTTGAGGCCATTTTGTTCCCGACATTTTACATAGGAGCTAATTTTATTCTAATATAATTCCGGTTGCAAAATCCATCAAGAAAAAAAGCCCGGAAGAAAATGGTCACGGAACCCTAAATGACTCTACGTATGCTAAATATATTAGCTTACACTGTTTTAGCCCTGGTATAGGTTTAAAATGAATAAAATAAATGAATAATAACAATTAAATATTGTCGCTCCTACTCATCATTAATGAAGGTAATATCAGGCCTATACCTATAGCCCATGGTAGAAACTACCGTACCGGAGCCCAGCATGTTACCGAACGGAGTGCCTGCGTCGCGTGCACCCATGATGACAGTGTTGCAGCCTTCGTTATCAGGGTCAGTCCTCCATTTGAAATGTTTGGCACCAGCGTAATAAAAATAAATTTGAGTTAAGGATTTTTTAAGCTTTGAAGTGCAATTGATATTTTAGATGGATACCATCGCAAAAGAAATTTTCAGTAGGTCTTTTATTATCATTATCATTTAAAATAAATGTGGCTCTGTTTCTACCAGTCTGGATGCATTAAGGTATTTTTTTACAGGTACGAGTTACGGTAGAAATGAAATCTATGATCCATAGGAGCACCCTCCTCCCACGCAGCAGCAGGTAATATAACCAGGGGTGGATTTAGGGGCCCGCCCCCCCCCCTTTTTGGGAAGTAAAAAAAAAGAAAAAAGAAAGAAAAAGAAAAAAATGATAGCCCAGAACGCTTCAAATGTTATTTTCGGGCGTCTAGAACACACAAATTTCGCGGGGCATGCCCCCGGATCCCGTAGGACATTGTTGTCTCGATCGGCCCAAATTTCGGCCCCCCTTTCGGCCCCCTTTTGGACATCTCTGGATCCGCCCCTGATAACGCCGGTAGTTGGTTTCTAATATGGCGCAGTAAGATATCATTCTGACCATGGAGCCGCTATAATTGCAGCTTCAATTTTTAGCGTCATTTTTTTTACTGCGCATAAAAGATTCCTTCAACTACGACGGTACCACAAGCAAGGTTCTGTATAATCTGTACTCATGGTTGAACGACAGGATAGGCGGCAAAGAAGGGGAATGATTGGCCGGGTTCTTAGTTCAATGTTTGAAATTCGAAAACGCAATTCATCGCGCAGGTAGCGTGGGAAAGAATGAACAACTAAGAATGATTATATTTTCAACATGCATTAAAGGAAGAATTCCAGAATTGAAATAACTATGATGCAAGAATATGAAAAATCACTATTTTTACATTGTCATGGTGGAATATGCCTGTTTGACAATGAACACGAAGCTTAAACAATATTTCGGTACCGGTAGCTTAAAATAAACAATTATTAAGCGAGTAATGTTACGTCTATCACAAACATGTTAGTAGATCCATAAACCTATTAATATGGTCCATAGTAAATCTGGCTATAGTATTATTTTAGACTTTCGGAATTCTTGGTTGGAATCTAACACATTTTGGCCATGTTTATAATATACCATCTATACATGTTTTAGAAGTAAAAAATAACGAACATTTTAAATTCTCCTTTTAAAGATACCGGTTTCGACGTGCCATAACAAGTGCGAACAAGGTTCCTACGTAATTAAAACACCAGATCACCCAGAGTGCTGCACTGTTTGCTTAGAATGTGAACATCCCATTCCCCTCATTAACTCTTCAACAGGTATGACCATATGCTGGAGTAGATAGAAAGTAATTTGAATTTATATTAACATAGTACATTAACTGTACATTGTAAAACATAATCCTTTTGTATTTTGTTATTTTACCCAAGATTGTGTACGATTATATAGTTTACATAAAAAAATATTTCTGTCATCAATATAAGAAACACAATTAATATTTCGTTATTATTGATTTTTGTTTTCAATACGGCTATATTTATGGATTGCCAACCGTTTTGTATTCGCAGCTTTAATTGGATGTGTAAAATGCCAGCCTCATCATCATTATGATGTAGATCTCGAAAGCTGTGAAGAAAATAATATCGATTATCTACACTGGACGAATATCGGCACGTACATTGCACTTGCGCTCTCATTTGTAGGTCACCTGACAACTTTGGGTGTCATGGTGATTTTTATCAAATATCGAGCCACACCAATTGTCAGAGCATCCAACTACCAGCTAAGCATGCTTCTCTTGGTTAGCCTTCTGGTAGACTTCTCTCTACCTTTCATCCACATCGGCCTGCCTTCAAATCTTAAATGCCTACTGGCAATAGCGATGCAAGGGCCGGCAGTAACCATCGCTCTCTCGATATTTCTCGTAAAGACACACCGCGTATTAACAATTTTTGAATCCCGGCTGCCATCTTTGAACAAAACGTGGTTACTGGGTCACCATCTACAATTTCTTCTTGTGTTTATCCTCACCTTAATTGAAGTTATATCTGTAACAGCCTATTTAGTTCTGGAACCTCCCCATGTCGTTTACTTTGACGATCCAGATGGCGGTGTTACATACGTACAATGCCAGTACACGGGTGTTGTTATAATTTCACTATACGCATATAATTGGATTATCGCCACTATATGTTTTATACTATCTTTTCGCGCAAGACATCTCCCGGTAAATTTTAACGAATCGCGCCATATGGCAATAACCATGGGAGCGTATTACACTGTCTGGCTTATTCTAATGCCGCCGTATTTACTTTTGGACGGTAGTCTAAAAACGATTCTACAACTGGCGGTCATCGTCATTGCCACATTCACATTGTTGCTCTGCCTGTTTATGCCAAAGGTTTACGTTATCGTTTTTTGTCCGGAGAGAAACACGCTCGAAGAGTCCAGGCGGATGACACTTGAACACACGCAGCGTCGATCGATTTCGTTCTTTGAGTCAGCACAGCGCACAGCTAGCGCCCCCGTTCGTTCCTCATCGAGTCATCCAGTTAGCACGATATCATCGAATGTCGGATTTAGCAAAGAACATCCGGATATAGAAAGTTCAGGTAGCAATCGGCATTTAAATATTGGATCTGTTGATGAAGTACATAATGTGGACTACCTAATTTCTTCACATGTTCCTGACAACGACGATGGAGGAACTGAGAATTCTGAGTCTACTGCGGAGTTTCCAGAACTGCTGCACATAATTTTTAACTGTGATGGAGTAAACGATTCTCCTGATCCAGGACCTGTTTCATATCACAAGGAGACTATACTTGACTCCAAATTCACACACGGATGTGGTCTGAAACATGAATTTGAAAATGTATGAATAAATGGTCTACTCTTTTTAGATCAACCTATGTTAGTGTATTAAAATGTATCCCAAAATTATCTTCAGTTTCTTTTCTGTTACAGTGGTCCCTGTAGTACCGTACCAAATGAAATCAATTTATTCAATTATTATGTAACTCCTAATATGGAATGTGGGAGCCTGATCTAGGACCTGTTTCATATCACAAGAAGACTATAGTTGACTCCAAATTCACACACGGATGTGGTCTGAAACATGAACTTGAAAATGTATGAATAAATATGGTCTACTATTTTTAGATCAACCTATGTTAGTGTATTAAAATATATCTCAAAATTATCTTCAGTTTCTTTACTGTTACAGTGGTCCCTATAGTACCAAATTAAATTAATTTATTCAATTATTATGTAACTCCTAATATGGAATGTGGAAGCCTGGTCCAGGACCTGTTTCATATCACAAGGTCTACTATGACCCTCAATAAACTCAATGGTCTCATAGAACACCTTGAAGTACTAAATATTCAGTTATTGTGAACGCAATAACGTGTTCTTACAGGAAATTATATATACTATTTGGCCTCGCAGCTTAGTTGGCAAGAAAATATTTCTGAGGGTGCTTAATATTAAACAATATTGAATGTAATTTCTTACGCTTATTATTTGATACTGTGATTCTCGAATAATTTATTTTTTGATTAACTGGTCGATCGATTGATTGACTGACTATTTAAAGGATCGATTGATTGCTTAATTGATGGATGCATTGATTGATTGGTTGATCAATTGAATCTGTATTGTTAAATTGATTATTATGAATGATGGTCGATTACTTAAAAATTGGTTGACATTGATTGATTGTAAATTAACATTGGTTGGTTAATTGATTGATTGATTATTTTATAACACTGAACATCTTGCCAATAGAAGCAATTGATTAATCTTCTCTCATGGATGTACTGCTTGCTTGGTTGATCAATGAAATTGATTATTGTTCAATTCACTGATTGATTGAATACTTGAATGATTGATTGCCTAACAATAGATTGATTTATTGTATATTGATATTTAATACCGATGATTGACTATTGAATGATTGGTCGATTAATTATTATTTCATAACATTGAAAATCTTAAAATAGAAACATTTTAACTATAGTAGATTGACTTAAAAGCCCAGGTTTACATTTAGTTTGGATTTGGATTTTATAAGGTGTAATTTATAAGGTGTAAACACTAATGGTGATTGAGCAATAGGCCTACATTGGGAGACAACCCCCTACTCTTTTCCAAGAGTGTATTGCGTTCTTTAACGTGTACATGGACCATAATGCACACGGGACCAACGGTGCGCAATCGTAACTTGCATTCCAGCTAAAATATAAGGAGAGCATGCGATTGAACCAGGAAAGATATCTCCATGATTCAGCGCACACACAATGGCTACCACCAGTTTAGCCGACTGAGCTAACACCCTCATTTTTTTTTTGACATTTGTGGCTATATGACCTTTGATTAAATGAGTCATTGATATTCACTTCCACTAAAAGGGAATTGTTGAGGGGAAACAAAGTTTGAAAACAATACATGAATGACAATACAACTATATTATCACTTCTTCCTTAATTAAATTGAGATAGGACTACAGCGCCGATAAAACCATCATTGTAAACTAGTATTATCTGGCAGGTCTGAGTTCACCTTTATAATCCATTGCTTTGGTGATTAAGCAGTAGGCCTACATTGGGAGACAACCCCCTACTCTTTTCCAAGAGTGTATTGCGTTCTTTAACGTGTACATGGACCATAATGCACACGAGACCAACGGTGCGCAATCGTAACTTGCATTCCAGCTGAAATATAAGGAGAGCATGCGATTGAACCAGGTAAGAGATCTCCGCGATTCAGCGCACACACAATGGCTACCACCAGTTTAGCCGACTGAGCTAACACCCTCATTTTTTTTTTTTTTTGACATTTGTGGCTATATGACCTTTGATTAAATGCGTCATTGATATTCACTTCCACAAAAAGGGAATTGTTGAGGGGAAACAAAGTTTGAAAACAACACATGAATGACAATACAACTATATTATCACTTCTTCCTTAATTAAATTGAGATAGGACTACAGCGCCGATAAAACCATCATTGTAAACTAGTATTATCTGGCAGGTCTGAGTTCACCTTTATAATCCATTGCTTTCATATTATACAAAATGTAAGGTGCTTACAGCATTTTTTTAATTTCGGTTATAAAAACGACAAGAAAGCAGCCAAGTTCTGAAAGTACTTGCTTTACATTAGAAACCGTAAAGTTATATTATACCAAAGTTGAACCTGATTTGTGTGACATGAATTTAATTTAGTTTATAACTAGTAATCAATCGATTAATATTTTGATTTTCTTGCAATTTGTTCTGGTTTTATGTACTTTGTACTAGTGTGTTTGCCAAAAAGAATAAAAAAAAAAAAATTTCAACAATTAATAAAAAGGGAAATAGAAAAAAATACATACCGAATGAAAAAAAAAAAAAAAATAGATGAAAGAAATTTAAAATTACTGTATTTTTCAAATGAATCATAATTGAACATAAATCCAACTAATAAAATTTATATAGTATCCATTATTTATTAGGTAAATCGTTAGTATTATTTAGGCCTATCTCACTTCCGGTTGTAAAAGCGCATACTTGTCTCTACATTATGTGCTATATAAATTCACAATTATTACTTAAATAAATAAACTGATGTATTACTTAAAAAATAAGACCAAAAGGAAGGAGAAATATGGAATATGTGCATAAAAAATATAAATTATTTCAGTAATCGACACTATTTTTGTCTTCTTTGGTGTATAAATCCAAATAAAGTGAACATTACTGTACAGTACTTTGTACTGAAACAATTATGAAACTTTATTTTATATTGGAGAAATTCTTGTTTACATTAAATTAACAATGGTTTGATAGAGAATGGAATAAAGAGAAAATTAAAAGACGTTTTAACAACTAAACATAGAAAAAATAGATCCAGCATTTAATTTAGTTAAATTTCATAGTTCAAAGATGCTGACCTATTTTTATATATTTCACAAATTTTGTCGTTTGATTAATGACAATACAAGCAATGCACTATAACAATTTATTTTTTTGCGGTTTACGGACATTTTGCATACACAACACGTCACATAACTATATAAAACTTTCTATTCACCACGGGTTAGTACATAATGACACAATGGGCTCTGGAAAATCCATTTCGTTTTGTCACGGAGGTACAATATATAAAAAATAGTACACCCGTCTATATCGCCACTTTCTTATTTACTACAACTTGTGTTGGAAATTCCGATCAACAGTAACTGTTGCTAGACAACAGGGAAAGGTTTTGGAAATTTACGACTTTAAAATAACGATAATAATGTTGGACAAAGTTGATAAATACAAAGCACTTCAAGCAAGAATAATGTTGTTTAAACGAAGATGGCATATGGCGTGTTACTTTCTAGCTAGAATATATTATTTTACATAGGCCTAAATAACTCTAATCTTTGATATAAAATAAAAAAGTTATGAACAAAAAAAAAAACCAATAAAAATTGTGAAGATCTCTACTTAATGTTATAGTTAAAAATATAAATTTTTAGAAAACAGATCCATAGAGGATAATTATAGTATCATAAAGCTTAGGGATTCTAGAAATAAAATCGTTTTACTATTAATACTACTGTACAGTATTATTACTAACAGGTTTATTGAGATTTTAGAAATATAATCGTTTCATTATTATTATTATTATTATTATTATTATTATTATTATTATTATTATTATTATTATTATTATTAGTATTACTACTAATTACTAAATATCATCATTTTTTTTATTAATTCGCATGCAATGTGTTTAGCGACAAAGAGGCACTGAAATTCTCATCTTTTCTATTGGAGGCATCTAGAGCAAGCTGTGGCCATAACAAATGCTGGGCCGAGGCATGCAAGATGCCTGCCGTGCCGTATTCATAACAAAGATTTTTGAATAATTGTTTATTATTGGTCTAATATATTTTTATAAAATGTGTGAAAATATATGAATTTCTTATTCATTTTATGAAGAAAAGCATTAGAAGCTACATTATACGTAACGAGATATACGCTTACACCAGTATTTTGAAAGTTGTTGATAGCCGCTATTAAGTACAGGTAGTCCTATACAATAGCTAAACTAAACTTCCGTTTCGTTTTTCTGAAGTACTGATTTATTACTACCTCGTTGGTTGTGTCAACAACTTACATTTTATATTTAATGATAACCGCAGTTGGAATTTCCGCCAATGTATTGATGCCACAAAACCCAGGCTCGTGAATTCCGCATTTATATAATTATATAATTATTATTTAATTTTAAAACTCACTCATCTTCTTATCAACTTCAGGGGTTATTAGCCTATGATTCTATACTAAGTTATGTCAGTGTATTTTTTTTAATTTCTTTTTTTTTTTTTGTACTTAAGTTGACAAAATTAATCTTTAAACTTCACCCGAAGATTCCTGAACATAGAGAGCTATTAAACAGTGGAGGTCAATTATAGGCCTAATAGTAAATTATAATACACAAATTCAAGGAAAATCTGTGCCACGAACAAAGGGCTGAATTTTTTTCCTCATACTCTTCACGTAGTTCTCTTTTGGATTCATTCTTCGATATTCGATGTACACTGTCCACGATGAGTTTATTAAGTAGGCATAGGACCTAGGCCTATATCATATAGGGATATGTGAAATGGCCACATGCCTCGATTTATGTAAAAAAAAAAAGTCGGAATTTAGGAAAACTATTAATAAAATTTCGATGTTCAGGAAATTCCATGAAAGTGATGTTTTGCCCTACCGGAAGTTAACGTAATGAATAATACACTCAGAAAAAAAATCGAAAGTGGGAATCGAACCCACGACTCCAAACGCCCTAAAAAAACCCGCATCGAAATAACATTGCAGTACCCGCTGCATGCTACTTGGGGATCGGATTCAACGCTTAAGCTTAATGCTATAATGGTTTAGATACCAGGTTAGTGGAGGTCATCGGTTCGATTCCAATCCAAATAACTTTCGAAATTTGTTTCACAAGTACGTGGGAACGTATTCAGTACGATAATAATAAATGACAGGTAAGGAAAAACGTCACTCCTAATTTACAAAAGAACTTCAGTAAGTTAGTGTTATTTATTGCTATATTTATTGCTTTCTATGAAATCATTAAACCTTCAGACAAAATACATCAAATAATAATAGTGAGAAATATGACATCATTGTATATTTTTAGAGGAAGATATTTCATAATATCTATCTGGTTTTATCTTCGAAAATAATGGTGTTCTGCTTCAGCTTTGTCGTGAATAATTCGATCGTACGAAAATGATAATAGTGTGTATAGCATAAACTAATCCTCATAACTGTACATTGTGAATGTACTAGAATAGCACTGACAGCAGCTAGCTAAGTCTTGTGGTATTTAGGCTATAGAGCCCTGGATATTGATGCAATAGATACATACATACAT